TATATATATATACATATATATGTATAAAATTACTTTTTTGGTGACTGGTAAGGAATTGAACTGTGAACCCAAAGGTACAAGGTTCATATCCACCCACTGCTGGCAGAAAAAAAAATGGAGAAAAATGAAAAACCTCTTCCCATGAGATTATGCCTCTCAAAATTGGCTGGAAGTTCAGCTATGTGTCTGTTCTGACATAACAGTATAAAATAACAGCCTTTCTTCAAGTGTTTTCTTTATTTCTACCATATATGTCTCATTGGTTTCAGTCTCTTTTTTGCCTTAGCTTCCAATCACATATTCTTCTTAAAGTATCTCTTTGCCTGTGTCACAACTCCACTCAAAAGTTCCACATTTGAGTAGTAACACTCCTTTATAACCACCATAATTTAGTCTCAGTAAACACTTCCAACATTAGTATCCCACTACTTTCCATTCTTATGTGGATAGGATCTTGTGACTCGGTGGCTTATAACAGTGCCCTTTCTGAATCCCATGTCTCTGTCTAACTACACAAATTTTAATTTCCTTTCTTCTCAAATGCTCATCCTATTTAGCCCCTTCATCAAATGTGCTATTCGTAATGAACATATTTAATTCGTATTTGCTCATTTCCAAACTCTATCTTTTCCATTAATCCTTTCCAAATTCTTTTGTTCCCAAAATCTTCAGACTGGCTAGGTCATTCACAGTATTCTCTATTTTGTTATCTTGGCATTTTTAATACACGTTTTTTTATAGTTACTGGGGTTTTTTTCTTCTAGGTTTATTACATGTTCCCAACTAGAATCTCTGCCTTTTTTTTATCTGAAAGTATTCACTTTCCTGGACCCATAAAATAATGTGTGAAACCAAAGAGTTGACTATATAATTATATTTGGCCTTAGAATGTCTTAGTCACCATACTTTTTTCCAAAGGATCATTACCTACTTGATGACATCTTCTGCATTTAACACTCTGTTGTTGTGTGCAGTTGAGTTGGAACTGACCCATAGTTCACTCCTCAGCAAGTCTTCATAGGAAGTTTAATCACAAAAGAGGCGATTGCTCACCTTTTTTTCCTGTAGAGCAGCTGGTAGATTTGAACCACATGCCTTTGGGATGGCCATTCAGCTCCCTACTGCTAGACCATAAGAGCTCCCTTAACCTTCTGTAGAGGGTTGCATAGCTAACAAAAAGATTTTTTCTCCCATGAATCAAATTCACCAGCGGCATTACAAAAGAAAGATGGAAAGTCCCCTTTCTTCATGATTCACAGCCTTGGGAGCTCAAGGAAGGGTTATAGTGAGTCAGTACTGAGTCAAGAGCAGCGAATCGGCATCTTAAATCTACTCTGTGGAGTAGGGGAGTTGAAGAGAAGATCTCAACAGTATCTAAGGAGTCATGAGGTTAGGACAAAGATGGTATAAGGGACTTTTTGAAGGAAATGCATGTCTCCACAACGTATTTTTCACTTCTGTTTAGTAGAAGTTCAATTTTCTCAGAATTGTCAATACAGTAAGAACAAATTTTGTTTTTCAGGGAATTGGGCAAAAATGCCATGCTGGAAGCTTCTGTGCCAGGTCACATCAGAGAAGGTCATCAAGAAGTTTTCTCAGTGGTGCTCAGATTAGGACTTGGTTTCAAAAAGTATTCCTTAAAAGGTTCTTGAATATATAATAATAATTGTCCTTTTAAGTATTTCCACAAAATAAAGGGTGCAGATTCTGTGATGAGCGGCTCAGTGATTAATGTTGAAAATTAGTCCATAGTTTTTTAAAAGTGATTTCTCCATTTTGACCTTGGATAGTATTTGCTCATCCAGTGATGGTGAGCATGGCCACTTCTAAACAAGTTTTTAGAATATGTTTTTCATCCATCCATAGTTCCCCTGATTCCTTTTTGACCTTGCACCTAAACTTATACTAGAGTTTTGTGAGTCTCAATATAGTATCACATTTCTAATTAAATTATTTTATAGGACTCTCCTGGAGACACACACTCTGACTTGGTAAACTTAGGAGTCACTTTAGTGATCAGATTTAGTGGCACATGAATGAATGTTCTAAGGGTATTTTCCCTCTCCTACTCCAGAGGACTGAAGAGCAAAGTTGTCAGTCTAAAATGCAATCTAGGCCATGGTCTTTGTAATTACTTGATATGCATCAGAGAGCTGGACAATGACTAAGGATGACAAAGTATTGATGCCTTTGAGCTGTTGTGCTGGAGAAGACTCTTGAGCATACCATGGACTGCCAAGGAAACAAATAGGTCTGTCTCGAAGAAGATGAAACCAAGTTTCTCCCTAGAGGCTAGGATTTTGAAGCTCTGTCTCATATAATTTGGGTATGTAGCCATGAAGATTATCCAAAAACTACTGGAACAGCACATCAGCAAAGAACAGCCAGAAGTCCAGGCTAGGTTTAGAAGGGGTCATTTGTACTAGGGATATTGTAGCTGATGTTAGATGGATCTTAGCTGAATGCAGGGAATACCAAAAGAAGGTTTATCTATGTTTCATTGACTATGCAAAGGCATTCGAGTGCGTGGATCATAACAAACTGTGGCTGACTCTGAGAAGAATGGGAATCCCAGAACATTTAATCGTGCTAATGCAAAACCTATACTTAGACCAAGAGGCAGTCATCAGAACAGAGCAAGGTAACACTGCATGGTTCAAAATTGGGAACGGTGTACGCCAGGGATGCATCCTGTCTCCATACCTTTTCAACCTGTATGCAGAGCAGATTATCCGAGAGGCTGGGCTCTATGAGGAGAAGTGTGGCATCAGGATTGGTGGAAGATCTATTAACAATCTGCGTTATGCAGATGACAAAATCCTGCTTGCTGAAACTGAGGAGGACCTCATGCACTTGCTGCAGAGGGTCAAGACCTGAAGCCTTCAGTATGGACTGAGGCTCAATGTCAAGAAGACAAAGATTCTTACCACTGGACCAATTGGTAGCATCAGGATGGATGGCGAAGAGATTGAGATTGTTCACAGCTTCAGTTTGCTCGGCTCCACCGTCAACACTCTTGGCACCAGCAACCAGGAAATCAAAAAACGTATTGTGATGAGAAAGTCTGCTGTTAGGGACCTCTATAAAGTACTGAAGAGCAACGGTGTCTCTCTGGAGACTAAGGTGCATCTGATACAGGCCATGGTCTTTGCTATCACTTGTTATGCATCAGAGAGTTGGACAATGACTAGGGAGGATAGAAAGAGAATTGATGCCTTTGAGCTGTGGTGCTGGAGAAGAGTATTGAAGGTACCATGGACTGCCAAGAAAACAAACAGATTCATCCTGGACAGGATTAAACCGGGCTACTTCTTGGATGCAAGGATTCTGGGGCTTCGTCTGACATGCTTTGGACATGTTGTAAGGAGGGACAGGTCCTTCGAGAGGGTCATCATGCTTGGGAGGGTGGAAGGACAGCGCAGAAGAGGAAGACCCTCTATGGGGTGGATTGATTCAGTGACTGGGGTAATCAGTGTGGGAGTGTCAGAGACAGTGCGATTGGCACAGGATAGAGCAGGGTTTAGGGCTGTTGTACATAGGGTTATTATGAATCACAAATGACTCGACGACACATAACAACAGCAACAACATGTAGCCTGGAGGGACAGATCCTTGGAGAAGGACATCATGCTTGGAAAGGAGAGGGATCGTACAGGAGTGGAAGACCCCCTGATGAGATGGAGTGATATAGTAATTGGGAAATGAGGACTGGTGTGTTGGGACTAGTGAGACTGGCTTATGACAGGGCAGAGTTCAGAGCTGCCGTACATGGGTTTGCAATGAGTCTTAAGCAACTCGATGGCATAGAGCAACAACAGCAACAATTTCATCCTATCCTCCTTTAAAGTGGAGCAGGGTGCCTGCTCTTTCAACATGTTGTTATGTTGTTAGGTGCTGTAGAGTTGTAGACAACTCATAGCGACCATATGAACAAAAGACCTGAGTTTCTGGAGGCAAGGCATTTTGGAAGTAGATGCTACTCCTGCTTCCAAGCCTGTTTTTATCTGGGAGATCCATCAAACACTATCAACTTTGGGTAACCGTTATCACATTTGGCACATCAGTGTCACAGTATTTAGCCATATATATAAGGATAATATTTTTGAAGTAACTTTGACATAATAAGCCTATCTTAAAAAGATTGAGTTTTGAACTTAACCTTTCTTTGAAAAACACTACATATCTTAAGCTGTTTAACACACAGCTGAAGTTGGTCCAGAAAGGTCTAATTTATAGTTTTCTCACTTCAGGTTTAGTTTTAAATAAAATGGGCAAAAAACACAAAACAAAACCAAGTCTTAATTCTATGGATGACCCAGAGAATTCTTTGTAGACCATTTTTAGTCCAAATTTCTAAAACCAAGCAAAAATGGCTTTCAAATCCTTTTTAAGGAAAATGCTCTTATCTTTTATATATATATATATATCCAGACAAACAACACATTTGGGTAAGATTAAGATTAAATGAGTTTATTTTGAGCTTGTGGATACAATGGTGTAATAGATACCAGCACTCCAAACTACACCTAGTATTTGCCTCTAAACTTTCACACATTATCAATTTTAATTGATCTAACTTTCCACAACCAGGCCTCCTATCTAGAGAAATCACATTTCAACTCAAAAATATATAAAATGAAAGCATACTTCCAGTGCAACTGGAAGGATTTTAGTTGTGGAAAATAAATGCTGATTTATTATTTCAGAAAAAAATTAGTAACGTGAACACTAGTAATGGTATTACTACTACAAGAGAAAGAACAAAATGCAGATTAAAAGAAGCATAGTAGGTTGTATTCATTAATTTCCCCTTTTAGAAAAGTCACATAATATTAAGGATATAACTTCAAAGTTAAATTGTTCCATTTGTGGGCCACACACTTAAGCATATTGGCTTGTACATTTTTTTGCACTGATACAGAAGCAATACAAGCTTTATGTTCTACCATTACACTTCCAGATTTTTCACTTATTAATATACCTGCCAACCTAATGAGTCTTGCATGCATTTACAGTTTGCTTTTGAAGAGTTAAGTTTATTTCCCCCATCCCCCACCCCCATAAACATTGTGATGCAAACTCGTTGTGCCCAATTTTATGAGAATATCGAAAAGGACAGTTTAGTGCCACTTCAGGACAGACGTCTCCTGGCCCCGCCTGGGCTACAGATGGATCAGCAGTATTGATCACATCTTGTCTTACATGCAATCAGACAGTTTCCTTAATTTCCCCATGCCAGAGGCATATGAGTTGGCAAGTACGCATACAAAAATGGAATCAAATAGAAAATGAAAGAGGAGAAAATAACCAAACTGCTTTCTTGTTAAAGCCTATCTTCCTAGAAGGAATCCATTGCTTTGAATTCACTTAAAGCCTGTACGGGTGAAATGTGTTTCTTTTGAGAGCCCCTCCTAACTCGCGTCTGGAATTCTTCAGGTTTTTCTCTCTTCACAAGGGGCTTCTTCTCTGGAGCCTTCATCTTCCAAGACACAACCGGTGAGTTGACAGCAGCTGTCCCATAGACCTTCTGATATTTGGTTGAAGCCACATAGGATGCTTTCACTGTGAGGACCACGGCATTCATGAGATTTTTAGCTGCCTGGATGAGGGATGTGGCACTGTCCAGCTAGAGGAGGAGGGAATAAAAAAAGAAAATGCACTTGGGTTAGTCTAGGTCCAACATTCACAGGGTGGTACAATTTCATACTTAAAACAATGCTTTGCTTATCTAATTGTAAGTTATTGAAGAAAAAGAAGCAAATTATCACACGCTAAGTCAAACAAGTTACTAAGAAATCATTTCTCTTCTCATATCCATTCTGCCAAAGTAAAATAAAAACTAGCCAATTTTTCTTTTTTTAAAAAAAGATCTTCTGTGGCACACAGTTTTCTAAAATCCTGAAATCTCTTCAGTAAAAGCCCTCTGTTTTTGCACGTGAAAATTCTAAGGTAATAAAATTTTCTGGAGTTGAAAACCTCATAATATTACACTAGGTTTATTAATAATAATGCTAATTACTTAAATGTTTAAAAAACATTTAATAGATGCAGAAGAATAAAGTGTTCCTTCTCAATTTCATGATCCTGCCAGTAGCTATTATTTCAGTAGCTATTTCTTCACGTTGTGTTTAAGATTAGTGATCCTGCAGACAACGAAGCAGAAGAATGTATCCGTGCGCAATATGTCTTCTTAGGTGTTAGACTACACAGTTAACTATCCCCAGATCTTGAACATACCTGCTTTAAACTAGTAATAATTGTATCAGGATCTTGTAGGTCAGAAAACATTCAGTAAGGGCCTTGTATTTGAAGTTCCTATGTGTTTTGAACACTGTTTTGGGAACTTTGTATATATTTTCCCTCTTAATCCTCACCGAATGAGAAGATAGCTGGTACATGCAGAGGTCCAATAAAAAGTACCTAGGTTTACACAACTTAAACGGTACATCAAAGACTAAGCTACTACATACACAATACCATACACACTATACCTATTATTTAAGATACTTTTAAAATGCTATGACAAGTCACATTTAAGGGCCGAGTAGGTTTGGAGGACCATTCCTTACCAGACTCTCAAGTCAGATATTATTTGGGTGACTGAATTTTTTGCTTTAATTCAGTCAGATCATGTGATAGGTGCTGGTTATAGACTTAAGTCCCTGCACTATACATGCTGGAGAGATAAAATCTGCATTCTCACGTTCTCTTTCAAGTCAGATATTATCTGTGACCTAGTAAACAGTTTTCTGGGTTTTGGTTGAGACTTTAGTTTAATTGTTTTTAATCTAGTTTTAATTGTTTTCAGTCAAACATTCATCTAAGTAGTATAGCACTGGTCTGGCAACTCATGGTTGCTGCGAGGGTAAACACTGACACTCATGTTTCAAATGTGGTAATGGTTTCTCATGGTGGACAGTGTTTGGTGGAGCTCCAGATTAAAATAAGCTTGGAAGCAGGAGTGTAATCCACTTCTGAAATAGCTTGCCTCCGGAAACTCTATGAACTTGGCGTAAAGATGAAAGTTGTTTGTGTTCAAGACTTTCATTCATAGGGTAGCTATGAGTTGTCTATGACTCAATGGAATTTAACAAGAACAACAACAAACAACAGTAAAAGAAGGGGAATAGCTGAACTGTAAGGGACGTTTGAGCCTAGAGAGTCTTTTGGTCAAGCTTGTTGCAATATTAACTAAGGAAATTAGTCTATTGGGATTAAATGAGGGATTCAAGAATCGTCCAGTTTGTTCATTGAATAATATGTAATTTATTGATTGTTGTTGGTGGTGGTTGTTAGGAACTGCCACATCAATTATGACTTATAGTGACCTTATGAATACGAGAGCAGAACCATTCAACCTATGACATTTTCACGATCTACACCATACTCAAGCTCATTGTTGCAGTCTCTGTCAATTTATCAATTTGAGGGTTTTACTCATTTTACTTACCCTCCACTTTTCCAAGAATGCTGTCTTTCCCTAATTTATGGCACCTCCTACCAACAGGTGGAAAATATGGACCACAGTTACACTGAACCCAGGAGCTGGGCATACAGCATTCTGGGTGCTGAGGGATTTTCAAAGAATTTAAGTTAAGGGGATCTAAACTCTCTGTCTTTCCTATGAAACATGCTTTGCATTCACTTGAGCTTTGTCTCATTTCTTCTGAAGAAAATGTAACTCATTAGATACATTAGATCTGTACTCAAGGCCTTCACAAAATTATTTTGTATATTCTTTGATTTGTATCCTTTCTTAAGAGTTCTGGTTTTAAAAAAAATGGCTTTGACAATTGAAAAGCTTAGACTATGAAAATATAAACTCTAAAAATTAGTTTCTTCAGTTGTAACCACTTTAAAAAAATTAAAGTCCTTTAAATTAACCATAAAATTATATGAAACAACCAAAATATTTGTACATTAGAGCCACAATTCAATGAATGTATAATTCACTGTTTTAAGAATTAACTAAAGAAAATGGATATTTTACTTTGCTACTTTTATTTCACAGCACGGTCCATGTATGACAAATAATAATAATAACAAATTATCTATAATGTTTTATTTACAGGGTCTAAATTCGCAAAACTATCTCAAGAAAAGGAAATTCTAGATTAACATGTTAACAGGAGTGAGGCCAAGTGTGGATTAAGGACGTGGTTCTCAAGGTGTACTCTGTAATCCAGCAGCATCAGTATCACCTGGAAAATTCTTGAAATTCAAATTCTTAGATGTAATCCCAAAGCTAGAGAATCTGTTTGCAATCTGTCTTGACAAACCAGCCAGGGGATTCTGATGCATGCTAAAATTTGAGATCTCCTGGATTAATGAAACCCAGAGACTATGTGAAAGTTTATTTCATCCAACAATTTTATAGCCTTCAAGATAAACTTTGATATCAGATTTAGATATCAGATTTAATGTTATTAATTTGAGAACTCCTGGATTAATGAAACCCAGAGACTATGTGAAAGTTTATTTCATCCAACAATTTTATAGCCTACAGTTTCCTGTAAGTCTGCAAGGTTTCAAAAATGAGAACATTTCATTTATGAAGTTAGCTAATCATATTTTGTGTTTTAAGTAAAGAAAGAGTAAATGAATATTATAACAGGAAGTTGAGCTACTTTGCTAGAGGGCAATAGAATTAGTAGAAGTGAAAAAAGACAAGGTATACCTATTGCTTTACTAAATGGTTCCCAAGAGTGAAGAATCTAAGGAGAATTAGGTGGATCTGAAGAGAAGGATTACAAGTAATTTTGAGATTTTTACCACAGATTCCATTTTCAGATAGATGATGTCTAATTCTGCAGCAAAAATATGATAGCCTGTCTCTTCTTCAGAACCCCTTTCCTCTCCCAGCCTGAAGCAGGAATCCTGCGAACAAACCTAATACATTGGTTGAGTTGAGTATGAGACAGCTCTGAAATATACAGTCAGTGGTTTCATTCAAGCTATTTTCTAGGCCAGAAACTGAATTTGTGGACAACATGCCTCTCTAAGAATAAAAAACAAATACCTACCACTGTCAAGTCAGTTCAGACTCATCGTGAGACTCCATAGGATTTCTGAGACTGTAAATCTTTATGGTAAGAGGCTCTTTGGTGGGAAGACTTGAACTGATGACCTTTCAGTTAGCAACTGTGTATGAGACTAATGTAATCATAGCAACAGTGTAATAAAGCTCTGAGCACTACAGCTACAAAATACGTTAACAGATATTCCGGTAACTGGCCCAGAAATTTACTCATTTAATAGATATAATTCATATAGTTTGGGGGATTAGGTATGGAATATAATAGGGAACTCCAGTGGCCTAGTCAATTAAGAGTTGCACAATAAACACAAATGTTCTACTGGTCTGGCATTTTCAATCCACTGGTAGAACTGTTGGAGAAAAATAGACAATCTCCTTTGCAAATTGCAGCCTCAAAGAACCTGTGTAGAGACAGCTACGAGTTGATTCCAACATAATGATAATGAGTCGAGCTGAAGGAAGGGAGTAATTTTATATCTTACACAATAAGATACTTTCAATCTAGCTGGTTAGATCGCTTGCTACAAAGACCTAAAATCCAAAGGATGCTGAAGAAATATTTACTAAAAATACGTTTGAACCAGATATTTATTTTCTAGTTTGTGTGTATACGCATTCAGAAGTCATAGAAATATTTAACTAATGGTACACTAGAATATACAGCAGAGGTTAAATATGCCCCAAATTCCAACGTTTCTAAATTGTTGGACCATTCTATCATCTCATATGTCAGCAATTTCTTCTTCCATTATTATTTTATCTCCTGTCTTTGCCCTTGAGTTTCTTAGTTTGTTATAACATCTCACAGAGGTCACAGAAGATCTGGGAAAGAATTTAGGCTGTTGTGGAGGCTGGCAAATTTCAAATCTGTGGGTCAAGCTTTAGTCTGGAGAACTCTTTTGACTTTTGTGGACATAGAAGGTCATGGCAAATATAGAGTTGTAGAGGGAGTTCTGGTGGCTTAGGAGTAAGGAGTTGTGCTGACAACTCAGAGGCAGGCAGTTTGAGTCCACCAACTGCTTTGATGGATAAAGATGGGCATTCTCCTCCCATGTGATTTATACCCTTTGAAAATCCATCCTCTGGAGGGTTGGTTCAAATGACAACAACAATAGCAACAGTTTTTTGGGATGTTAGGTGGTGTTTTTTCATTTTTTTGGTTAAATTTCACAACTTTTGCTAGTTAACAAACATTTCAAAACAGTTGAAAAGTATTAATTTTTAATACAGAGTAATGGAGATTTTGAAAGTGTGACACTGATGTGTCAAATGCGATAATGGTCACCCATGGTGGACAGTGTTTGGTGGAGCTCCCCAATTAAAACAAGCTTGGAAGCAGGAGTGGCATTTATTTCCAAAACAGCTTACCTCCAGAAACCCTATGAATTTGGAAAAATGATGAAACTTATACAAGTGTTCAGTATTTTCATTCATAGGGTCACTATGAATCATCTATACAACTTGATGGCACTTAAAAACAACAACAACAACAACAACAACAACAATATCAATAAGCAACATTAATAAAACTCTGATTAGGTACCTGGCAAGGAATCCTGGTTTAACAGTGGTTAAGCACTTGGGTGTTA